GATCAAGCTGGCAGCTGCTAGGAACTTCGAGCAGATAACGATCAATCTCACCATATTGGATCAAACTTGACAATCGTTTAAGGCGTTTGGAACTGCCGATGTCAAACGACTTCTTCGTACGGTTTGAACTCCCTTCTTTTGGTTGATCCGCGTTCGAGATTGTTAACTCGTCATGAAGCACCGAGTCCAGCCTATACTCCGAGTCGAAGGAATAGTCCAAAATACACAAATACTCACATCCGGGTTCCAAGTTCCCAAACAACCATTCCCACGGCTCGATCATCTGCTTGTTTATACTGTATACGATTCTTGTCAAAGCTTCATCAGGCGCGGCGTGATCTATGAAAAATCTTGTGTTGGCAGTCAGTGTCCCAGGTAACAATTTGGCATCGCGGATATAGTTGACTGGTGCGGCTTTGACTATCGGCTCACATGCTGAAATGGGCAGCGGTGTATGACGAACAGGATTTTCTTCCCAATCGGGCTTCGAAGGCAGTACCTCAATGCCTCGACCAAAAACGCGGAGGAGAGTGCAAATGGTGTAAGGATTTGAGGACGCTACTCCGACGAGATCTCTCCGGGTGGATCTGCCGACATCGTAATGCATGGCCAAGGCTTGTAGCATCTATTGCAAGTCAGTCACTTGTTCTCATGTATGACATCTGCTTACCTTGGTAGCTCGTCTCTGGTTGCGATAGCCTTTCAACACCAGTAGTTGCGTTATCCACCACACCCGATCGTCACCGTGCATCCACTGGCTCATAAAGCAGTGTCCGACCTGTAGACCATTCTTAGTAATGGCTATCACTAGGATGCTATTGACTCCATCCGGTAGGCACTGAGCTCTTAGCCTATCGCGACTAAGTCGTATGTGCTTGCCTACACATAGGAGTTAGAAATGGCTTCGTTTTTGTCGCTCTACTAACCATACTCAGCCCAGGGGCCCATAACGAGACGTGCCCTCTGACTCCACACACCATAATTAGTCGAGAAGTGCTCAGCGCAAGTCTCCAAATGTCTCTTCGTCACCACGCCCCCAGGGATGATGCGATATACTATGTCTTCGTCAATGTCTGGATCTTCGTAGAGGTGGTTTGGCTCGCTACGGATGCGATATTCGACACTTTCGATGCTAGCAGAATCACGGTAAGCTCTTTCTTCTCTTGGATTATCGCCTCGTGTGATCAGCTGTTGAACGTGGTCCATGGCGGAATTACGTTTTTCTGATTTAGTTCATGTAAGGCTTTTGTATTGTTTTGCATCGAGAAAAACGCGTTCGAAGATGTTGGTGTGAATGTCGACTGGACCCAAGACGACGTTTTCGAATGTTAAGCCTGCTCAAGCGAGACGTAGAACCATGGTAGAGATTCGACCACCTCTGACCACCACGAACTTGCCTATCTGCGGGCCTCCTCACTTCTGTGCAGTCGAGCGGATGAATGCTTAGCTGTTTCCATTGTATTGTTCAACTCCAAGGTACCTGGGTCGTCAGGACGCTCTATTGTAGTGTTGCGTAAGGACAGTCGTGTCGGGTGCAATAGCAGGTTCGGGGGACTGGTTCTGAGTGCGGTTCAGCATGAAAACGTATGCTTTCTAGTGCTCACGGTAACGGATTTGGAGAGCAGGTAACGTTAGGTAATGCACCTACCTTCGTATGGACGGCAGTCAAGCTTACTACTACCAGGAAGTCGACTTCCGGCTGTCTTGACTGGAACAGCACCCCTGCGTCTGACATGCTGGTCACAAGTGGTACTCAGGTCCCGCAACGCCACAAGACACTCCTCGATGCCACATCAGGAAGCACAAAAATAGCATCTCGAATTCTCATTGGTCTGCTCGCAATATCACGTGCCTAGTGGATACCTCTCGCGAAGCGACAAGGTGAGGTGGGTCACTCAGGGAACAGTTGGCCAACCGCAGCGTCCACTCAGCGAGACGCTATGTCAGAACAGGCAATGTACGAAGACGTGGCCTGTGCACATGTAAGATAACGGCAATGGAGGATTAGGGGATGCTGGCAAGTCAATATACAGGTGGAGTTTGTTGTTTTGGAATGGTGCATGGCGTTCACCATTTGAAGGGCACTGCCGGCTGCTTTTTCCTGTTCGTTCACTTTCGTTCAGTCTTTACTTTCGAGCATCACGCTATACTACCCTTCCTTCGTTTTCTTCTTCAGCAGCCATAGAGATACACGTCAAATTAATCGAGAGTATCTATCAGCCTCGTAACCTGCTACATTCATCGATAAACAAGGTCCATCTCCTACCTGACACGAGAACGGTAGCACCGTTGTCAAGCCTTCACATCATAACATCACTTGCATCAAGAGCGATACGCAAGCATGATTCAAACAGCAATTCTCCTTCTCGCGCTTCTTAAGAACGCAACCGCCCATCCTCTCATCAAGCGCGACGAATACGCAATCCCAGAGACCGTCATCATCCTCCTCATCATGCTAGGCGCCGGTATATGTGTTTGCGTCGGCTATGCCATAAACGCGACCTTTGGTTTCAGGGAGGACGGCAACGGCATGAAGCCGATGACGCCAGAACAACAGGAATATATGGCTCAGGTTCGGGTTACGAACATGAATGGATTGATGGCGGAGGGTGCGAGAAGCCATCGGGGTGGACTGAGGAGAGGGGATGTGGTGTATGATTAGAGGAAAAGAGGAAACAGGAATTTGGAGATTTAGGACATCTACTGCGAGTAAAGGGTATATTCGAGGAAGATGGCATACAGAAGTGCATTGGGGCCGACACATCAAAGCGAATGATGGATAAACCCCTTCATTCTTTGAACTTCTCCTGTACGTTACTGTATTCAGTTGGATGGAAATGTGTAATCATCAATTCAGGTGCATGAAGCTGGTGTCGCAAGGTTATAGTGTATACGACCATGTTTTATGGATCTTCAGGTGACTCTCATGGGAGCGTACAGTACTTTTATTCAAAATGTCATCCGCCTTATCTCTCGTCATACATCGGCGGACTTTCACCCCTCTCATACTTTGGGACAGGATCTCTGTCTTCCAAATCGCCCTCTTCTCGCACTACATCGCCGAAGAACGTGTCTGCAACATCAATCCATAGATATACTCTCTTCAGTCCTGTAGTTGTGCATTTCTCCACTCTTCCCATTCTTCCTTCATCTTTACCAATCGCGCTACGTACTGCATCAACTAGACATTCTTTTCTGATGTTTTCGTGATGATGAAATTCTAGAACAATATGATCTGCGTAGAAGATGTCAGGGTTCGACCATGATGGTAAAGGTGCGTTAGGCGTATAACGAATGGCGTATAAGTGACGAGTATATGTGGTCAAAATGGTGGGCGACGACTCCGTTGATTTACTCTTCCGAGTCGACTGCGGCATACGTTGAGTTTCTTTTACTCTGTTAGCCTTCACTTCAATATCAAACAAGGAACACCGTATGCTGGACTTGTACTCACCAGACGCAACCAACCCATCGATGACATCTTGGACTAGGTCGCCGGCTTTCTTTACCCTAGCTTCTAACGATCCAAACCCGCCATTAGCCACGGGCATCTGAATTTCGCCACCCCTTGCATCTCCTCGCTGCTGTCGTTTTCTGCGAACTAATTCGTTTGCCCATATTCCCATCAACTTCGTCCTTCGACTGCCACCACGGTCTGTACGTTTCATATGCTCCACATCCTCACGGGATCGAACTTCGATAATATATGGCGAATCTGCAGCATGATGGTCGACTCGATATCCCCAAGAGGCGAAATCGCGGGCTATAAAGGGTACAGTCGTCAGGAAGGGTCGAGTGTGCTGCGGAGTGTGGATGAGGTAAACCTTAGCACCGTAGAATGAGCCCGACATATTGGATAACTGGTGATTGTGTCTTTTTCGAAACAAGAACTTGATGAGGAATCGAGGCAGAAAACTGGGACTTTAAAGAAGACGCAGATTTATCTTGTTTCAGGCTGTCATATAGACAGCGCGTTTGACGTGTATGCGACACCATCGCAGCAGTGCGCCAGCATACCCAGGCGTCATGGTCAGAGCGCAGGTGAAGTGAGGCGCTCCAGAACAGTGCTGAATTCACTTTCGGTTCCAGCGAAGTTCAGAATACCAAAAGCGGTCATTGCATCTTCAGCTGCGTTGCAGAGGCCATTCTTGGAGTGAGCGCAACATTAGAGGTCCAAAATGCCATAGGGCTGAGGACTATTGAGGGCGCGATGGTATAGTAACCCAAGATCGGTCTGACATAGCAAGTGTGCTGAGATGGTGCATTGTCAGAAGGCGAATAGGAGATTAAGTTGTCATCTGTTTGGAGTTACCGCACGCGCTAAACCTTCAGCTACCCTGCAGGGTATCCACGTCTCCTTCCGCCGACGAATCCGGAGCCAACTCCTTACTCTTCCTCACCGCATTTACTAAAATGGACTGCATCATTCAGCTAGCCATCATCGACACCACTGCGCAACTAACGGCTACTTTGTAACGTGCATGCAGCGCCACGATCTTCCTGGTGGCTGTGAAACATCCGCGCCCTACAATGGTGGTATGGAATGCGACTGTATGGACTAGACTTATTAGCATCAAACCAACTTGCATTTAGTCTTTGACAACTTCTAGGCTTGTTCCGATATTGTCTTACTATCTTCAAGGAAATTCTATTGAAACGAGGACGTCTTATGCCGCACAACTGATGCGGTCTTCAGGAATCTCTACCTGGTGCCACGACATTCATGTCACGTGTGCAGAGGTTTGCTCGCATGTGCATCCATGGATGAAGGCCACGGTTGAAACACATCACGTCTACTGTAATTCCTTATAGCAAGCGAGTGAGTACATCAAGACTATTCGTAGCTTGTGAAATCCGTCTATCACACGCACCTCACCATTTTAATGTACCAAAATGTCGCCACTGTCTCTTGACGAAATCCACGCACAACATCTGATTGAACAGCACTTGCAAAAGCCCTCATGCAACCCAGTCTAGCACAACACCCATACCCAGTAACAATGCTCAGCTACATCTACCACCCAGCAGGCCCCGTCGTCATTCGTACAACTAGCGCCGCCATTTCGCTCATCTATCGCGACCGCGGCTGGCTAATCACACAATCCTTTTCCGACGTCCTTCGTGACCACCCAGAATGGCGGTCTACGCCAGCTCCTCCCACTTCAAAACCTACACACATTTCTGGAGTGAGCATCGCGACCCGCATAGGTTCCGTAATATTACCCTTCCTCAGTACTACGATGGCAATAATCCCGAGCTATGCACCGACTGGCGTGGGAAGTTTGACGCCTATAATAGTCGGTAACTGTGGTAGAGGGGAAGTAGAGCGGAAAGAGCAACAAGAGCCAGTTGGTAATTTTGCGCCAATACATTGGATGACAGCGGTAGAACGATCCTGGTACCGGGATCGTGCGTTGCTTGTTCCGATCATAGGGTGGCTCAAGTGCGATGAAGGTGAAGAAACATTTGAGTATAGACTTGTTGGTGGGGAGTTGGATTTCGAGGCACCACCAGGGTACGATGCGCACGAGTAGATGCAGACGATGGAGGCAGGCGCCAACCGCTCAATTGTATATATGGCGAGAGAAAGATGGCGAACATGCATAGGACAATAAACATTCTAATCGTATTGATGAAAACTGTGGTATCTCGCAAGCAAAATGCAGCTAAGAAAGAAGGAGCGGTTGGTAACTTTTTGATGTAACCCATACATGCGCATGCGATAACCCGATCCTTTCCTCATGTTGAAAAACACCATCCGAATATTGCGCCGTGGTATCTTGTGGTCGTTTCGCTGATTCTTTCTATACACACCCATACATTATCCCATATATACCATACGCCCACTCCAATGAGCGCCATACTTCATTTACCATCAAACGCATGCTGTCAGTTCACTTATGATAACTCTCCTACAGATCTGCGCTTTTAGGGTTCACCAGATAGATGTCGGGCACTTTTGGTACTTGCGGACTCTTCTGCAGCGCTAGCTTGATTGCATCCCGCGTCTTTGCACCTTCCTTCTCTCCGCCACCCCCCGTCAGCCGTCTCATACCACTCCTAAAGCGACTCCTTGTGTCGTGAGCAACAGGCTTGATAATATTCTCTAGACTGAAGGTGCCGCCTTTGTCTGTGCTGCTCGACCGACCAGCAGAGTACTCGTCATCGGAGAAGGGCTCATTTTGTTCGTCGAGCGTGGTTGATGAGAGGGAAGGAGAAATACGTTGGGGTTGGTTCGGCGCCGAGGGTGACGTTACGGAGCGGGAATGGAGACCCGGGCGGGGATGACTTGTTGGAGGCAAGGCGCCAGTAGAGGAGTTGGCGAAAGAGCTGAAAGCGCCTGGTGTCATGACACCTGGATCCCTAGCTGGGGAGAGTTTGACATCCGAGATGAACCCCGATTGAAAAGAAGTCACAGATGCGTTCCTTGTGAGTGATTTGTGTAAGATTGGCGCCGTCTGCTGGTCGTAAAGGTTCTCGCGCATGTCGTGAGCATATGGTCCGTTACCGTACCGTCCCGAGGACGAAAAGTTTGGTAGATCCGTCAAGGTTTCCGCATCATCATCGTCCTCAAAGAAGTCATCCAAGCTGTCTAGTTTCATGACTAGTTCGCCAATGTGACTGTCGCCACGGATATCCTCGGAAGTCATGGTCGCAGTTCGATGGTAGTCGGATAGTGGGCTGAACGGGAACTCCTCTTGGCGGAATTCTACCTTGGGTGTCTCAGTGTCCGGTACGTTCATTTCGTCAAAGTTTCCGCACGTGTAGAAAACAGCGTGAACGTTCGCTCTTGTCAACTGCGAATGCAAAGCAGGCATTGGAATAGACCAGCCGCTTTCTTCAGGGATACCGTACAATGATTGCGTCTTCTCGAACTGCTTCTTGTATCCTCTGGTAGAGTGGGAGCCTGCCATGCTCATGCGAATGTGCTGCTTGTCGAACGGTGTGAGGGTACTAGTCATGTTGAGATTGATGACGAAGTCAAGAACCCTTAAAGCTTGTGGGCAATATGCGCTTTGTAGTAGTCGTAGGAGAGGCGAGAAAAGATCAGATCCTTTGGATGCCATTTCCGGCTTGCGCATGTCGATTTCAGGTAGCAGGATGCAGAGTACTTCCATCGTGTTGATCTTCATCCAATCGATCTTGTTCATGAGTAGACCGAGAAGGAATACCAGGCTACCGAACTCATGTTCCGAATTGAACGTAGAACGTATAGCAGACATTGTCTGCGCAAGGAAGTCTTTTTCATGGCGGTACCTCTTCATCGCAAAGGCAGTCAACGCCTCGGAAAGCGACGTGCACTGGTAGTGCTGGTCTGCGACTTGTGCAAGCACTTCTGCAGTGGCGCGGATACTTGAATCTTGTGCTGTAGAGTCAAATGAACGCAGAAATCTTGGCAGATTCGCAAGAACGGTGTACGTCAGTCGGCTATCGTCACCCACGATGCGGCTAGAAGGTAGTACCACCAGTCTTTCCAGGATTCGTAAAGACCGGTCCAGGCATGTACTTGATCTGATGCCCTTGTACGTCAGTTGGGCAAGGCCTTCGAACTTGCCTTCCCACTTATCCGGGCAGCTTTCTTCTAGGATGCTCAACACCTCCTCGTCGCCTAGATCAAGCTTGTCGAGAAACTTGTCTAGCATTAAGAGGCTCTCCATGAATTCGCCTTCGTGTATAGTATCCAAACACGCGCAAGTCGTCCAGAATAGCTGAGGGTACTGTATGAGATCTTTAGGCGCTAATGCCTCAATGATGGTCCGTAGCGTTGTCAATATCTCCATAGAGAAGGTCTGTATGTCACTCTCCTCATCCGAGATGGTGTTAGAAAGTCTGGCGAGCATGTCGGAAAGCATTTGCTGATCGAGCGAACTGAGAATGCAGCGGAACAACTGGAATGACCGACAAGCGATATGTCTGACCGGGCAAGATGTGGCCCAGTTCAGTGCTACTCGACCCCAAGCTTCTCTCAGTCCAGGGTATGCAAATGAGAAGAACTTCATCACCTCGCCAGCAACGTAGCCCATTGGCTCAGGAACCTTGAAGGTTGAGTCTGCCACGTCCTTGCCGTTCTTGTCATCGTAGCTCCATACCACCTTGGTGTCATGTTGTCGAATGCTCTCAACGAAATCTTCGATAGACCTTTTGTCGATGCCTGGTGTGTCGTCTTCGATCTTGGAGATGACTAGCTCGTGAATTAAATGCACAAGCATCTCACGAGATTGGTCCTGCACCACAGAGGTGTAATGATCCCAGAGCACCAGGACCACTTGTAGAAGCAATGGAATGTGCTCTTTGGCTACCTCTACTGGGGACACCATAAGGTCAACCAGCAAAATGAGGCAAACCTGTCCCAAGGCAAAGCCAGACTACGCAGGTCAGCGTAAATCAGTATGAATTTCATGTTATGCTTACCTGTTTATTGCTACTTGGCAGAACCTGGGTGAGATCGGCCAAGTATGGAAGATTGACAGCGTCTGGCGGCGGTGGCATAGGCTCGCGCTTCTCGCTTACCATAGACCGTGGGTTGATCTGTAATAGCAGGAACTCAACGACCTTTAGTCCCGCAGGAGTGCTGGAGAGATGGACTACGATCTGTTTGGAGTAGTCGACGTAGTTCTGTTCTCGCTTGTCTAGACAAAGATTGATGATGAAGTTCAAGATAAGTTGAACATTACCACCGTATGGTCCAGTTGCTAGTGCTTGCCAGAGTGCTTGGATCTCATTATGTAGCACGTTGCCTGATCTGTAGGTGATCTCGAACAAGTTGACGAGTAACATGTAAGAATTAGCAGTCGGTCCTCCGTCGGGGTTGACTTGCAGCTCGACAGACTGCACCCAAGGAAGCATAGCGGCGACCATGTTGCGCTTATGGTCAGGCTTGAGATCTTTGAAGTAGTACGAAAATTGCGAGAAGACCAAGAAAGCAAGCTCGGCATGCTGCTTGGCAAGCCTTCGTGATGTTTCAAACTGTGCGAGCTTGTATACCGCGACGGTCTTGTCAGAGATGCTGATGTCCAGGTCCTGTAGTTTCGAATTCTTTCCTTCACGAGCCTCAAGCGTTCGGAGTAATCGCGTGGACTTTGTGCGTATCTCGCTGTTCTCATGTCCGAGTGTGTAGAGACCGGCGCTTAGTACTTTCCAGAATGGCAAAGTGTAGTCCTCGTGTTGGGTGAGGACCTGAGTAACAACTTCGAAGTAGCTCTCGAGAGCTTTACTAGAGACCGCGAGATAGCACATTTCAATTGCCTTGTCTAGCAGATATGGATGCTCGCGATTGTGCAATATGAGATTCGTAAGTGCTCGGCGACCAATGGCGTGTGTTCGATCGCTCGGAGTTTCGAAGATGCTCTGTATCCATGAGAGCATACGAATGACATCGAACTGAAGCAAGACTTTGCTATCAGTTGTGATACTAACAGGCCCGCCACAGAGTGCAGCCATAGCGCTCAAAGCCGCGGTTCGAAGATCACGTTTTTCAATTTCAAGGGCTGCAGTTGCGTTACCTTTGCTGCTCTTATCCACCTCTCGGTCGAGCATGGAACGACGCATCTGCTCTTCACGCTGACGAATCTGAGATTGATTTGCTGCATATCCGCACCATTCTTCCATTAGAGTAAATGCCGCTTTACGAGCTTGAAACGGCATCCAGTGCAAAGGATCGCTGGTCTTGTTGATGCCCTCAAACAAAACTTCCACAAGGCCACAGTAGTGCGTGCGTAACTTCTGGTAGCGCGCCTCAAGTTGGACTTCTGTATCACTCAGGAAAATTCTGAGATCCTTGGTGTAGTTCATTAAGTTGTTGATGATCCACTCGTCGTTGTGGGCTTCCGGAAGTTTGAGGAATTGTTGCGATGTTAGCTTGTATACGTGTGTAATCTCTGTTCGGAGATGGTCGGTCCGGTAGTTGATGGGACGGGGACTGCTAATGGTTCTGTTGTGATTGCCCAGACGCATCTTGGCTTCTTCTGCACAAGCAGCCACAATCCCCTGAAGCGACTCAAGTAATGTGCGATAAAGATTCAGGTTAACGGAGCCAAGGCCAATAACCGCAGCGTCTCGTATGGCGGCATTGTCTACTGACAGGAAGGGGAGGACTTTAGAAAACAACTCCGTGGCGGTATGTTGCTTGTTTGTGCTCGTTTGTGAAGACTTTGAGCTCTTCCGCGAGTGCTGACCTTGCGTAGCCGACATAGCGGTTGGACCCAGGCTCGTTAAGGTTGTGAAGGCAAATATGAGATACAGTTTCCATTGTTCGATGACGACTTCTGGTGAGGTCGAGGCAAGGCGCCCACTGAACTTGCTAGCACCAGGCTCGTACGGTGAATAAGGCGTTGTACGCTGGCCCTCAGCCAGGGACGATAGAGTGCGATACATCTGAGCAAGTCTGGCACATACTATGTCTCGAGTAAGAGTCACAGCAAAAGGGCAGACCTCAAAACTGATTCGCACCAGATTTGGGAAAATCTTGAACCATAAAGTAGCGTCATATGGCACATCGCTGCCGCAAAGTTCCACGAGTGTGCTCTGCACATTG